GCGGGATCATCTATGATGGGCGGGTCACTGCACTTGGAATCGAAACAAAAACCAGGCGGAGAACAATAACTTTGGTAGAGCATATGTGTGAAGAGGCCGCGATCCGCACCGGTGACGTTCGGATGCCATAGAACCTCCAGCAGTTGTTTATGAAGCCTTATTCGCTTCTCTCGGTAGTCCATGCGTTGGAAAAAGACCCCGTCAAAGCCGGCCTCCAGGAAGACTTGTGCTTGGTCCCTTGCGTGTCCAAAGGGGTCGATCTGCCAGGCCAGCCTGGGTCGTCCACACTCCCCAAAGGTTTCCTTAAGGAAAGCCAGTCCCCGTGTCAACTGGTCCACTGAGTCCGAGTAGTGCACCACAGCTTCATCATTCATACTCCAACCGCCCAGCGCAAATTCTAGTTGGCCCGATCTTACCAACTTCAACACAGCTTTCTTTGTCCTGGGACTTTGAAGGCGCCACCAACGTTCGAAGAAGGCCATCTCTACGTACGTAAATTTGCGTCTGGAGTCTGTCAGGAGGGATTGGATGACACTGTCCAGGATATACTGAACTCCAGCCTGTTGATACATTGACGCGTATCCATAGTAGTACTGATCAATGGTCTTCAGCCATCCCACGTCGTCATGCGTATGCGGTATCAGGTGAACATTAAGATAGCCCGGTTTGCCTACATCACACAGTGAGTAGCCACACTCCTCCTTACTGAAAACTGCTCGGAAGAGAAGGCAAAAGAGCAGCGAAGCAAGAACTCGTAATCCCAGCATCTTTTCACATCAAAGCTGTGGCTGTGTACTGTAGGTAGAAAAAGAAAGGGCTCATTTTAAACAGTTGACTTATGATTGGGCCCAAAATGCTTTTCCGGCCAACCAATCAGCAGCTTATGCTGGCGCGCTTTCGGCCAACCAAATTAGCGGTGGCTAATGGGCTGACCAGTTTGGCACTTTCGGAAAAACTGTGATAAGGTTTAGACCTCAGCTCAAGGTGTTACGAAGCCTCTAATCAAATAATTTAAATTTAAAAGCGCCATAATAAATATTTGAAGAGTAAATAAGTATGCACAAAAGTTAATGGACATGTGTGGGCTGTTAGAACGGATTTGCATGTTCCAGAGTACATTGAGTTTGTTTAAATGTAAAGGCCTGATGAGAATTATCGAAAACAAACGTATGTTCGCCATTTCATTTTCTGAAATTTTCAACGGGAATTTTCAAAAATTAAAGTTTGTTTAGTAGTCAAACCTGCTTTGATGCAGAACAATGTGCAACCGGACATAATTACCTGTACTGCTGCTGCCAATAATACTTATTGGTTTTACATCGAGTTTTAAAAAATCAGTTAAAACATTGAGAAATTTTTGGGGAAATGTTTAGATGGTGCGTTTTTTAATTTAAGGTAGTTTGATTGCCTTTTGCTGCAATTTTATATAGTTATAAATGATGAGGGAAATTTAAAAAGAGGCTAAAAAAGGGTAATAGAAAGTTAATCTAAAAAAAACTCATTTTAAAACTACCCTGGCAGTGACTGTGCTAAAAGTAAACACATTTTACAAGCTAACCACTCCTGGGATATATGGCCAGCAAACATTGCATACAGCATTAATATTGAACTTGCAGTGTTCCATGTCTTCTGTGTGCTTCAAATAAACTATTCTCTAACAGCTATTCAACTGATTTGAATAATGAGTTAGACTTACGCGGAAAAATGGACAGACTCAATTGGATTGGAAACCACGAGGAGAAGGAAAGGGCTTGAGTCAAGCCTGTGAGGACGTTGCGCTATAAACTAATGTGTACAAACAAAATTTGCTCTTCCGCGATCATTAGGATCGTATTTAAACAGAAGATAATTCAGAACAGCATTTGGCGAGTGTATACTTTCGGTTAATTCTCCTCAGGAGAATTAAATTTAAACAATCGACTTTGGTGGGGTCCACACGATGTCCGGAGTCAACCATGTGGGCAAGGACGCACTGATTCCACTCTTTTTTGGCTCTCATTCCTCGGGCAGCCGTAGTGGCTAGTAGTCTTAGGCAGATAGTAGTGCCGGCTAAGCCATTCTAGTCGCCCTCGTGGTTGCCGCAATACTATTTGCTTACGACTTCTAGCCGCTACGGTTGCTGTCAGGGTCCGAGGAATGATTCCTAATGCAGAACGGAATAAATGAGTTCCGTTAGCTGTTGGTGAGCTTTCCTCAACACAGGAACGTACTATTTCTATTGGTTCGCTATGAAGAAAGTATTTGAAAAACCTGTGGCATTCAACAGGCTATGCCATACCAGATCT